ACTTATTAGGTTTAAAGAAAATTTACGCTAGATGATGCTGTGCTGCCATTTAGACTAGGTTACATTTGACTCTCGTGTATATTTGTGGCTAGTCCGTCTTCAACGTTTAGTAGTGAGTTAACCGAGAAGTGTTCCATTTAACAATTGCAGGATGTTCATATAGTGAGCAGGCAGATAGGATTTTCTTTTTTTTACATACGGCCACGAATGTTAATGAATTCATAGCTTTTTTTGAACTTAATAACTCGAAAATGAAGGATTTGCGGACATATATTTACATGGACTTTTGTCACCTTTTTGATGTGAGGAATCCACCCACAAAATATTTTTGGTACACCATATATATATATATATATATATATATATATATATATATATATATATATATATAAAAATGAAAAAACAGACCACTTTAAGGTGAAATAAATTATTGTAATGGTACCTTAAAGTGGTCTGTTTTTCATTAAATATTAGCTCTGTATTCACATTGAGCTCTCAGGATTTCATCCTCCTTGGAATTACCCATTCGGTTTACCAAGTTCTTCATAACATATATATATATATATATATATATATATATATATATATATATATATATATATAGTAACTCAGACTTATACTACCGCTGAGGAACAATATATATATATATATATATATTAATTTAAGGAAGAGCTTATCGAATGCAATGTACAAGTGTATCCTCCACAGAGTCTGTTCATTTGGTACACTTTATGAACCATCGTTCCAGGCTAGTCTGCTAAGATCGTGCGTCGACCGCGTTGTGACAAGTGTAAGTGATTGCGTTCCGACTCTACGCACGCATGCGCACTGTCGACTCAATTATTGTCGCCATCTTGCAGAGAAGGAAGAAATAAGATGATCGGAATGTTTTTGAGTTGCAGAGAGGCAAGATATTGGAAGAATGGAGAGACGGGCTACTTATTAAATAACAGCAACATCAATAATAATAATAATAATAATAATAGATGTAATTTGATGAAAGTCAAGATGCATGCCGGGAATGTGTCGCAGAAGCCAACAATGTGCTCTCAAATGTAACATGTATTGATTTTTCCAGTGTAGGTCATTGGAAGTGTTCATTCCAACGTTATTGAAAATACCAAGTTTTCTCCCTCTCTCTCTCTCTCTCTCTCTCTCTCTTTGGGTTACCATTTCTTCAGTTCTGATCTTCGATGCTTTCGCAGAAATAACCCTTTGATATAAGATTCTTTCCTTGCTGTTCACTACGCCATATATTTTTTCCTAACCTCTGTTAGGTCAATCTCTCTCTCTCTCTCTCTCTCTCTCTCTCTATCTATCTATCTATCTATCTATCTATCTATATGACTTCTCTCTCTCTCTCCCCCCCTCTCTCTTTCTTGTTATATTCTTAAATTTGACCTTTCTTTCTCTCTAACCATTTCTCTGTTGTTGATGGATTTTCTTTTTTGTTGTTGTAAACGATCTCGTATTTTTTTGTTCTATCTCTCTCTCTCTCTCTCTCTCTCTCTCTCTCCTTTTATTTGTATTGACCATTCCCTTTTTGAAATATCTGCAACCATTTCTGTTTTTTGTTTCGCATATTTCTCTCTCTCTCTCTCTTTCATTCATTGTCTTTGCATTTATATATATCTCTCTTCCTCTTTTAAATTACTTTCTTCAACAATTTTCCTAAACTTTTTAACTCTCTCGTAATTTTCTTTTTCTTCTTCTTTTTCTTTTTCTTCTTCTTCTTCTTCTTCTTCTTCTTCTCTTGCTCTCTTTCTCTCTCGCTGTCTTTGTATTGACCTTTCTCTCCCTTTCAAATGACGGGCTTCAAGTATTTCTGCTTTTTTATCTTCACATATTTTCTCTTTCTACGTACACTCTCCCCTCTCTGTCTCTAGCTCCCCCTCTCTCTCTCGCTCTCTCTCTCTAACTCTCTAGCTCTCCCTCTCTCTAGCTCCTCCACTCTCTAGCTCTTCCCTCTCTCTCACTCTAGCTTTCCATCCCTCTCTAGCTGTTCCCTTTCTTTCTCTAGCTCTCTCCCATTTTCTCTCTCTCTAGTTCTCCCTCCTGTAACCCTTCCCCTCTCTCTCTTTAGATCTCCCCATTCTCTCCCTAAGTCTCTCTTTCCCTAGCTCTCCCCTCTCTCTATCTTTCTCTCTCTCTCTCTCTCTAGCTCTCCCTTCCTTCTTTCTATCTCTCCTAAGTCTCTCTAGCTTTCCTCTCTCTCCCCTCTCTAGATCTCCCACTCTCTCTCTCTCTCTCTCTAGTTATCCCTCTTAACCTTCTCTCCTCTCTCTTCCTTTCTCTCTCTAGCTCTCTCTCTCTCTCCTTTATCTAGCTCTTCTCTTCTTCCCCCTATCTCTCCCCCTCTCTCTCTCTCTCTCTCTAATTTTCTCTCCCTCTCTCTAACTCCCTCTTCCCTCTCTCTTTCTATCTCTCTTTTGCTCTCCCTCTCCTCCTCTCTAGCTCCCTCTTTCCCCCTTTCTCTTTCTCTCTCTAGTTCTCTCCTTCTCTATCTGTCGCTCTCCCCTTATTTTTCTCTTGCTCCCCCATCTCTCTCTAGCTCCCCCTCTCTCTTTAGCTTTTCTCTCTCTTACACAGAAACTGTAGCTTCATCTTTCTTTGCTCTCCGTCTTTTTCTACCCCCTCTCTCTCCCTTTCGCTCTCCCTCTGTTTCTACCACCTTTCTCTCCCTTTCGCTTTCCCTCTCTCTCTACCTCCCTCTCTCTCCCTTTTGCTCTCCCTCTCTTTCTACCCTCTCTCTCTCCCTTTTCGCTTTCCCTCTCTTTCTACCACCTCTCTCCCTTTCGCTCTCCCTCTGTTTCTACCACCTTTCTCTCCCTTTCGCTCTCCCTCTCTTTCTACCCTCTTTCTCTCCCTTTCGCTTTCCCTCCCTTTCTACCCCCTATCTCTCTCTTTCGCTTTCCCTCTCTTTCTACCTCCCTCTCTCTCCCTTTCGCTTTCCCTCTCTTTTTACTCCCTCTCTCTCCCTTTCGTTCTCCCTCTCTTTCTACCTCCCTCTCTCTCCCTTTCGCTCTCCCTCTTTCTACCCCCTCTCTCTCCCTTTCGCTCTCCCTCTTTTTGCCTTTCGCTCTCCCTCTATTTTTACACCCTCTCTCGCTCTCCTCTCTTTCTACCTCCCTCTCTATCCCTTTCGCTCTCCCTCTCTTTCTACCCCCCTCTCTCACTTTTAGTCTCCCTCTCTTTCTACCCCTCTCTCTTTCTCTCTCTCCTCCTTTCTTCGTCATTAAATTAATCTTCGACTCTCTTTTAACTCTTTAACTCTCTCTCTCTCTCTCCGTTATGATTTCTGTTTATCTTACTTCTTCCCACTTCTCTCTTCTATTTCCCATCGCTCTCTCCATATTTCTCTCTCTCTCTCACTCTCTCTCTCTCTCTCTCTCAGTCTGTTGTTATCTATCTACCTATCAGCCTGTCTGCCTGTCTGTCTATCTCAGTCAGTTCATATCTGTGTATCCCAGTTTCTACATATCTATCTATCTATCTATCTATCTATATATATATATATATATATAGTGTAACCCAGATATAAGAGGTTGGCGGGACCGGAGAAATCTCTTATATCCAGGTTTCTCTTATATCCAGGTTTGGTCTATTTTGTTTAGGTAAGTATGGGCTCTAATTTGGGACCAGAAAAATCTCTCTTATATCCAGGTTTCTCTTATATCCGGGTCTCTTATATCCGGGTTTATATCTATACATATATATATATATATATATATATATATATATATATATATATATATATATATCAGTCTTTTCATATCTATCTCATTCTCTTTCTATCTATCTATCTATCTATCTATCTATCTATCTATCTATCTATCTATCTATCTATCTATGTCAGTCTTTTCTTCTATCTATCTATCTATCTATTCTATATCTATATCTATATCTATATATATATATATATATATATATATATATTCTTTTCATATCTATCTCAATTTGTTTCTAGCTTTCTATGTCAGTCTTTTCATATCTAATTCTGTTTCTATCTATCTATCTATCTATCTCATCTTTCTTCTATCTATCTATCATCTTCAGTATCTTCTATCTATCTATCTATCTATCTATCTCAGTCTTTTCTTCTATCTATCTATCTATCTATCTATCTATCTATCTATCTATGCTTCTTCCTATCTATCTATCTATCTATCTATCTATCTATCTATCTATCTATCTATCTATCTCTGATCTTCCTAATTCTTCTAAAATCTTATCTCTTTATCATTGCCTTTTACACTCTTTCTTGTTTCCTTCCCCCACACAACACTCACATTCTTCTCTCTCCTCTCTCCACCTCTCTCATTTCTCTTTCCTCCTCATCTCTCCATCACACTCACCTTCAATCCCTCTCATACATTTCTCTCTCTCTTCAAATATCCTCTCACCTCCACTTCCTTCTCCCACTCTCTCTATTTCCCTCTTTTAATTCTCTCCCTCCTTTTCTCTCTCACTCTCGTCATAATTTCTCTCTTCATTCTTTCTCTCTTTCTTATTCTCTCTTTTTCCTTACTATTATTATAACAATCTTTCTTTCACTCTCTTTATCCCCACTCTTGTTGTCTTTCATACTGTCTTCCTCTCTTATTATCATTCTCTCTCCAGCGCACGCTCATTTTTTCTCTATATATTGTTATCAAACGACATCTTTCTCTCTCTTCCTCTTGTTCTCCCCCCATCCCTCATCCTTATCTCTTGTTACGGCTGACTCTCCCAAATTCTCTTTTACTCTCTCTAGTGTTATCCTAATATCTCCTACACTGTCCCTATCTCTCTCTCCCTCTCTCTCTATATATATATCTCCTCACCCTCTGTCTTTGTCTTCCTCTCTCTATTTCTATTTTCAGTCAGTTTACATTATCTTCCTCCCTTACACTCTCTACTTACCTCTAGTTCCCTCTCCTATTCCACTCTCTTCCACCCTCTCTCTCTCTCCTTTCTTTTCACTCTCTCCTCTCTCCCCTCCCTCCCCCTCTCATTTATGA